TAATTTTAGAAAATTGCATAAACTGACAAATTGTGTTTACAAGTACATAAATTCATACAAGGTCTACTGAAAAGAAATCCATTACTTTCGCTTTTAATTAAAGTATATATTTAGCATAGCTAGAATTATCCGATTCAGATGAAATATGCACCGTTTGGTTTGCTAACTTGTTCTCACTTTGAACGTAATTTCATAATGCCACTCTCATAGCCCTCGTCCCTATTGGCAAAAAAAACCGGCACAGCCGATTTTCATAAGCTTCTGTTGAGGCGAGTTTTTCATCAGCAAAATTATGTGTAATAGACAGGAAAATATGAAGCAATCACTTGATGCCAGCATCAAACTATTAGGTTGGTGCATAAGATTATACCAACTAAGCTCCCGCGATTTTTTGCGCCATGTTCAGTTCCTTGGCAATCGAAACAGTGCTTACATGACGTTCGGATGCGACAATTTCCATTATTTTATTGATATTTTTAACAATTGATCTTCCAGCACGTGGTGCAGCTTTGACATCAAAGTTTTCGGAATATAATCGACGCAACCGGAATTGCGCATCATTGACTCCAATAGTATTAGAACTATAAAAGATATTCATATTTTCAGGCACTTGGCTTGCGTTGTTGCCTTTATCGAAGAAAAACTGTAAAAAATGGCGTATCATCTTTGACGGGTATTCAAAAAATACTGAGTCAAACAATCACAAAAATGTCTTCGAAGTTTTTTAGGACGAAGTCTTATCTTTCTATCGCCATATTGTGTAACACGGTCGCACTTATATTACGCGAAATACAGGATACTAAAGCCAGCTATTGGTAAAATAATGGATTTCTTTTTACCAGACCTATAATCATATGCCGCTTTCGTTTCAGCACTTCGCTGTTCTCTCTGCTTTAGTACAGCTATCCTGCTAACAAAATTACAAATGAAAGTAACAGCAAAGTTTACATCAATATGAGAGAGTATGTAGATACCGCATTAAAGTGGTATAACTGATTGCTATTCTCGTTCTAATAGATTATGCTAATTTATGTAAACTATACCAGTTGGTTCATCGATTATAAACTCTAATCTATAGCGATGCGAACAAAGCTTATTTTTAATTATACCAATCCAAGCGACTCATACCAGTCATTTCTTCAATTCACTTCTCTGTTTAGGAATAGTAAAGAAATTATTTTGCTATCTGTTCCAATCGTCTGTTCGATTCGCCACTCCAAAAGCTTTAGAATGTTAGACAACAACTTTTTAATTGTGCCTTTTGTTGACATTCATAAAAGTTGTTTGTTAGATTTGGTACTTCGTAAGGATTGTTGAATCGAATATGTCTTTGAATGTGTGACATAACCAAATTAACTCTACAAAAAACTCTTCACTTCGTATATAGTGTAATTTATAATGAAAATGCGGTAATTATATGCAAGATCACACTTGGTGAACAGTTTTTCGTATGAATATGTTATGTTATGAATGAAGTTACTGGTACAAATTACCTTGAATTATTACATAACCTTTTGGTAAGTGCGGATATGAATGTATATAGTAATGTGGATTAAAACCTCCAATATATTAAGGAAATAAAACTGATATACATTTATACATATATATATATATATATGTATAATTTAATTCTTTAAAAAAATATATTTATTAAAAAGTTTTTTTCCAGTTTTTTACCTAAATTGCAGACATTCATATGTCCAAAACCAGTTTAATGCTCTTGCTTTGAAAGCGTGAAAAGATCATAAAAATGTACGAAAGTAATTTGTAAGATATATCTTGAATTGCATAATTCCACGTAATGCAGTTCGCTGCGAAAGCAATTCCACTTTGAACTGAAAAACATAATATTCTTGCCGATTCACTCCCTCAAAAAGACCATGCCGACGCACTTAAGCATGCAACACGTTGGGTTTCTTGGTAAAAAATGATTAATTTACCGGTAAGTGTGTATGTATGAATTGCATACCAACCGACTTTAAAATAGTGCCACAGCTGTGGCCACTATTTGCCCGGAAATATTGCTGTGGCGTCACTTATGGTGGTAGTGAAAAAGGTGTTAACATTCCCCAAGATTGCACGTGTAAATTCAAAGATAAGTTCTATGGCGGCATTATGCTTGAATTATTTTATATTCGCATATGTTCCTCTATGGATATGTACAATAATTTTAGTTGTCAGAATATATATGTACATTCACATACATTTGTAAAAATTTCAAATTCCAAACCGAATTTTTTAATAAATTATTTACTGGGTACTTATAAGTTTGTGAGCAATTGATTAAGGACTGTTGAATTGACATAAAGCCAAATACGAGTATCACTAAAGAATTTTGATAAATTCTTTGCTTTATTTAGAAAAAAATATTTGATTAACGGCTTTGCAATGTGAAGACTCTAGTTCCTTCAGCTAATTATAGAGATTTTTGGGCATATGGGTTTTAAGAATAAATAAAACGCATATTACTTAATGAATAATTTAGATTTATTACAATGATTTAGGTTTGCCATTACGTTTCAAAAATGATTTCAGCAAGTGACCGTCGTGACTTGCTCGAATAAATTCAAGCCAAGAAGCCTAATTTTCGACCACTATTTGTATCAATCGGAGCCGTATGTCAGTAATAATGCTCTTAAAATTCTCTGTCAAGTCTTCAATTGTTTCGAGATTATCTCTGTAGAAAAGCGACTTGACATAACCTCCCAAAAAATAGTTCACCAAAAGTTCCTTCAATAAATTGATTGTTGAAGTCGTCCACATCAGTACCCACCAATTTAGACGCGAAAAGGTCAATTATCATGGCTCTATAGCTTTCGCCATTGCCTGTAACATTATGGCGGGCTTCATTTTTGAAGAAATACGAACCAATGATTTTCTTTACCCATAGAGCACACCAAATAGTGACTTTTTGAAGATGTAACGTCGTCACAACAATGGCTTCTGCAGTATCATCATTCCAATTATGACAATATGATGCAAAAGTAAGCTTCGTCGCTGAACAAAATTTTCTTGTTAAAATTGGGTGCTCATCTTATTTTCGGCCCATTCACCGATCGTGCGATGCGCTTAATGTTCGATCGGCCTCAATTCTTGCACGAGTTGTATTTCGCAAGTCTGCAAACCAAGGTCCTCCCGGAAAATTTTCCATAAAGTGGATGGACACAAATTCAATTGCGATGGCGATGGACTCATTCCTTTCTTCTTTGATACTCTGCACCATGGCGGCAATAGCGTCATCGGTGCGCAATTTATGGCATCTCTAAGTATGCGAATTATTCGCTAGAGTAAACGTGGTGCGAATCCCATCCATGGTTGTTCGAATTACCGACTTTGCTGGGCGATTATGTCGACCGAATATTTTCAAAAAGACCAACTCTGAAAAAAGTATTACCTCATTGAAAACCACACATTTAAAACACTCGTTATTTTACATTTATTGATCATTGTCCAGAAGAATGACTTTTGTTTGTACTTCATTCACAAGCCTGCCTTCTGTGAGCTCTATTCTACATTCTTACAGAAAATTATCAACGACATCATGAACCTCCCTAGAAGTCATTTGGAGAGCCTTAGATATTTCTATAAAGGTATTACAATGATTTCTGCGATCAATTGCCTTAGTTTCCCACTGTTTTCGTTAATGGCGAAAGCACGACTTTCGTAAGATAATTTTTCGAATATCTTTACTGCATTTTTTTTACTACCGAAATCATTTCGTTCTCAGTCTTTAGTGACAGCACTCCGATATATTAAACTCAAAGGTCCAAATGTGCGTCGTCTAGCGAGCGGAAATCTATCTCTATCTATCATCTCGTTCCAACAGGAAGATCCGACAAGCCGAACAGCTTTACTTTTGCTGAATGAATCTTATTAGAAATGTATGTCTTAATTGGCCACCTGGAATATGTGATTTAACTAAGCGTGGTTAAATATGTCATTTTGACCTGAAAACCTGAATATGCATATACATATAGTTTTCTTGAATTGAGAAGCTTAAAAGCCTCGTTTGCTTAATGGCTTTTTATGAGAATACTTTTATAGCCAAAATTGAACATATGGAACACATCCGAATCATACGATTCAGAATATTCGCTCGAGTTGAAAAATAATTAAGCTTATTGGCACGTATGCCAAATATTGGAACATGCTATTTATTTATTAAGTAACCGAATTTATGTATGCCATCATAAACAGACCGCTTTGATTTGGTAAAAATCGTTTTTACGGCGAATTCACGATCACAAACAAATAATTACCGAGCTAATAGATTGTATTCCATTTCAGCTGGTGGGGAATTCCTAATAATTTTTCTTATTTATGAGTAGATAAGGAACATACATGAATATTTATATGTATATGTATATATGTATGTGTATATATATAGTTATACATATAATCATATTGACGTGGAATAATTAAAGGGTGTAAATGCTCAAATTGGAGCAATTCAATACTGATTCATTCACACAACGACTGCCAAACCTGAACAGATGGTCTGATGAGCTATCAAAAACACGCATTCATTAACTTGTATATATGTATGTGTATAGTAACTTCATTATTGAGAAATATTTGCAGGATTTCACCAGAGACGTTAATTGAAAGAAAAAGACAATGCCAGCGCAACAGCTGTATCCACACGCCCTTCGACGGTGGCGCACCGCAGAGAATCCAGCGAAAACGCCCGAAAGAGTTAAGAAAAACTTAAATAATGCCAATGTTGTTGGTGCCAATGAACACAGTGATCATCGTCATCGATGGTTATGATGATGATGATGATGATAATGTGGATTATGATAATGATTGTGATGCGTCAACCGTAAGCACGACGGCCAACGCAAATAACACATTATTCGGCGCAGCGCCAAGCGACGACGCTGGCGCTCATACCGGCTCCGGCTCGAGCTGTGTGACGCCGGCAACGATGGACGACGACACGATCAGCAGCAAGACTGCTAGCTGCCTGCCAGCTTGCGGCAACACATGCGCCGTTGCGACAGACACGCGAGAACAGCGAGCGAGGCAACAACGCGTACAGCGGATACGGTGGAACGCTTAGCGAAATTCGAAATTTATTAAACAAATTTTCTTATATACAATACTACATTTCGAGCGTCCAGATTTTTACGAAGTGTGTCTGTTGGTTATGGTACTTGACCAAGACTGGTGACTAACGAATAATACTCGGTATATTTCTGGTTGCTGTCTAAAGGATACAAAAATCGTACGGCCAGCTGTCGGGGCTTGTCAGACGTGTGCAATGAAAGTGAAAAAATAATAGATTTGTTTTTTGTCTGTAAAGATTCTTGCACGCGATGTGAGAAATATAAAATCGCTATGTGACGGTATGCGAATGCGTAGATCTGAGATGTATGTGCCGGTTCACAGTGCGAATTCGAGCGATTCCGCAGCTGAATGCAAAACTCGTAAGCAACATCTAAACTGATCGTGCTGATTAAAAATAAAGCAATATTGTGTAGAAAACAAAAAATATTGTAGAATGCAGTGAACTTCACCTTAAAGTGCGATAAATTTCCGCACATACATACATACATATATACACAAATTGGAATTTGCATGTGCATCAACTTTTGCAAGTGAACTTGTTCTGCGTTATTATTATGAGTGAATTGATTGTAAAAAGCACATAAGTATGTATATAGTGGTATTAAAGATGTGTTGTTGTAATTATAGTGTGCCTTGGCAACGCACAACGAGTCTGTGACAATCAGGTGGCCAGAACGCGTGGTCAAATTGGCAACGTATGCCGCGGCTATATTTGGATTTCCCACCAACACACGTTACCACAGTAGCAACAGACGGCCCATTACAAATAGATAAAACAGTTTGAGACTTGCCGAAGATGCCACTTTATCGCTGTGTCCACGCCGCGTAGACATTTCATAAATAAGTGGGCGTCAAAATATGGCTTGACGCGTTCTTCGAACTTGGCAACCGTCTCGATATCAAAGCAAAAAATTATAATAAATACTTATGTATGTATAAAAGGCGCGATGTTCCATAAATAAAAGAGCGCCGATAATGAACGAAAAATTGAAAAAGTAGAAACAATTAAAACAAAAATGTTGTGTTATAAAAAATTTACACAGTGCTCGCATATTTAGAATTTTGTTTGTACATATGTACATATGTAATGGTGGTCCAATAAATTTTGTTTAAAAATAGGCAAATGAAAATTTTTCAGATATTTCGTATTATTTTTCAATATAGCTGTTTTTTGGCTCAGTACACTTGACCCAGCGTTGCTCCCACTTCTTTCATTCGCTCGAAAAATATGTTCTCTTCTTTTAAGATTCTCAAGGTAGTGGCTGTGGACCACATTTTGTGATTCAAAAAAACTATAATCATCTCTTTACCGTCCGATAGTTCGGTGGGTTAAGTCCACTGTTTCTATTGTTTCTTGTTCTTTGACGTGTTCTAGTGGATCCAAGTTTCGTCGACGGTCAAAAAATGACGCGGATCTTCTTGTAGAGCGATCACACTTATACCGTTATGTACAGTTCTTTGTGATACCAAACAAAAAACTTCTGTAGTTGGCAAAAGCGCCCTGAACCTATCATAAATCCGCCTAGCTTTTTCATTTCTATTTCTGCAATTTCACCTGAATGTCTAAAAGTCCGAGGTGTTTTTGGCTTTATCTGGTAAAAACAGGATAACCAAGGAAGAAGTGTTCAGTTAGAACACCTACAACCATTGAAAGGTGGACCTTTCTGAGAGCAAAGAGTTCCCTGGACCTCTTACTATTTGCCCTGGGCCAGTAGTACCTAGCTGGTAGTCGATCAGCGTTTGTTGATTTGGAATGTTGCTCAACAGTCCAATAGTAAACTACTATATGCCAGCGGAGCTCCTACTCGTTCCTATTCCGCAGTTATTGAAACTGAAGTACCTAGCAACCTCATCAGCCTAACAGCTTCCTGCAATACCGCTGCTATCCAAAACAGCCTAAGCATAAAATAACTCGATGCTAGAGATAAGGAGTCTAGACATATTTTCACTAGTCTTGAGCTCACAGTCAGCGAACTTAAGGCTGATATCGCTGCCATACAATCGGTCCCTAAAGGAGGCTGCGCTCCAGAGTTCACGAAATTACTCTAAAACTTCTTCGCTTAGCGCTCAACATTGCTATGAACTGAACTCACTTTTGCGCTTGCTGGCCGAAAGATGCATACGCGATACCCACCGCGCCGACAGCTTTTTAATGCCCAATATATACACTGCATACCATCGCTTTTTTGAGATGCCTACCCTCTCAACTATCTTCCTAGTTAAAACAACATTTGACGGTCACCACTGAACGAGAATAGTCAGCGTATACAGTATGCAATTGTTCTTTGATTTCACTGCAAGATCGTTGATTTCCTTACAAAAGCAAAAATCAAATCACTGATCAATATTGCTTTTTTTCTTTTTGTCTAAAATCTGCGGACACAATTTCTTCCATAAGCGATCAAACTCAAAGCACGAGTCCGATTTGGCTGAGGGTTTGACAGTTGTTGTCTACGAGAACATACTACACGATTTTAAAATATTTTTGGGGGTAGTGAGCCTAAGTCAGCATTAGACCACCCTCGTAGGAAAAGCGGCCATATGCCGCATGCTTTTTTTTATATTCACATCTTTTTCTTCCTCATTATATAGGAACAATTAAAAATTAGCACGAACGGCGCTGTTTGGCATCAAATTAGTGCACAAAGTTATATACAAATTTTGATAAAAAATATTTTTCCACAAATGTTGGCATATGTTAGAGTGCTCGAGTCAGTATATCGAAAACAAGTCACACATTTTGCATTATCACCGCTTGTGTTTTACAAAACTTGTTCTACTTGTCAGTTTAATTTATATACAAGAGCACACATACCGACATATTTGTGGGGCGTCTACCGCTGCGCAAACACCTTTCAATACAAGCGCGCTAGAACAAGTGTTCCTACAAATACATAAATATGTAAAGTATGAATAATTATAACCTCATCTGAATACGCCATAACCAACTTCCAAATGTTTTGATTATCTAATTGCGTGTGTTTGGTTGGCAGCACAGCGAAGATCCCCAGTGCGTTAGTAGAGAGCGCAAAACTCATTAATTGGGTCAATCAGCAGCTTCGCAGGCATAAGCCTACAGTCAGCCAAATAGCCGCACTAGCGATAAAAACTATCCATTTGTATTGCTTAATAGCGTGCTAAACGCAAACTGGACGCAACGGCAACAACAACAATTGTAACACTGACAGCTGACGGCTGACAGCGCCTCTGACAAGGCAATTAATAAGGCGAGACTTATGTGTGTACAAACAAAGCAAACGCGTATGCAAATATTAAATGTAGAATAGTAGCCTCTAAAAAACCATAGAAAGATTGACCGATCGACCAACCGACCGACTGAACGATCAACCGACCGACGATGTCAGACTGGTCATATATTACATTATATTTGCCAGTGGTAAGCGGCAGCAGCGCTGCTTCACCAACAGCCAACAACAAAAAACGTTAATCAAGTGCTGGTAATTGGTGTTGTTAGACATTACTAAACATTGCCTTAATGGCTGCCACTTAGCAGTATTTAACGGCTGCTGTTCCAGCTTCGGGTCTGTATTTTCTCGTAGGCCTAATGGCTTGACCGAAGAAAATAGGCATAAAAAGAAAGAAGACTTTATAAAGTGTATTTTTGAACTGGAAACGCAGTGAAGTGCACGAAATTGATATAAAACATGTACGACGTAACGAGGGCGGTGCGATAAGTACTTAGTTTACATAAGAACGAAGATAATTATTGGAAAACTAAAGATTTAGTTCTCAACATAGTCGGCTTTCAGCTCGAAAGCTTTCCAATTTCTTTAAGCCGTCTGAAAGATGTGTTTTCAGAGGTCTGAAAGCTAAGCCCCACGGCGGTGATAAGCATATCCGGCGAGTGACTTTTCCATGTAGTATGGAAACTAAACAAAATCGCACCGAGCCAAATCTAGAGAAAAGCGTGGATTGGGCAGCTATTCGTCCCCTAGTTCGAGCCAATGAGTCGTCTTATTGGAAAATTACTCTTTTTGCTATTTGGGACTATTTTCTGCAACTTGGCGGTAGATAAGCGCAATAATTCGGTATTGTAGAGTTTTGTGATTGTTTTGCTAGTTTTTCCAGTAGTCAATTTACAACGCACCTTGTGAATCTCAGAAAATGATGACAAACTTTCAGTTTCAGCTTTTCGGCCGATAGGATAGTTTCCGCCATCTTCGAAGCAGGTTCGTATGATGAAGTCCAGGATTTCGACGGTTTCTTGCTCCTTGACGTACACAAGTAGATACAAGTTTAGCCAACGATCATGAAGTGAATCAAAAATTAATTCAAATTGCTTCACAGCACCGCTTCGAAGTGGTCTTTCGGTTGCGCTTCTTTACTCAGCGGACCGCCCTCGTATATGTTCCTCGTATGTAAATTTGAACTCACATCTTGATATGTGTACTTAACTCCTCTATGTAGTCTGCCTAAAGGGAGTCTAAAACACAAAAAGACAAGCAAACATAGAGACACACAGACTAACAGACTCACGTACGAACTCACGATTCATTGAACCGGTATAATGTAGTTAATTTTGACATAAAATGTTCTTAGCAAATATTTAATGTGTATAAACTGTATCCATTTAGGCACTTATGTACCTAGTGATGTGAATGGTGGACGTCAAGTGGCAGCTGGAAGGTGTGAAAAAGTGAAATTTCTCAAACCATTAAAAGTGTAAAAAGATAAAAGTGAACGAAACAGCAATAAAAACGTATGAAGTAGCGGAAGAAGGCGAAGAAGAGCGCTGCGCGTTAAAACAGTATTTTCCGTATCTGTAATTAAGTGAAACAACGAACATGATGCGAAACCTATTGCCGGTTGTTGTTATGCTAACCTGCCTCGGTGTGCAGATTGCACAGCCATTAGCCACCAGCTATGATGCTGACGCGCGTCGTGGCCTGGAATTATTAGAAAATGAAAATCTAGTGCAGCAGCATCACGTGCGGCATAGAACCGCGCATCTGCGCACAGCACACCACAGCCGACACAGACAGCACGCTGACGTACGTGATATGGCGAAAAGCGAAAGTGCAGCGGCTGCTGCTGAAATAACAACGCCAGCGTTGCCTGATGACGCAACAGAAAATCTAAACTTTCAACAAGGCGTGCACAAACAACAACACAAACAAAGATTACAATTGGATCTAGATAATCGTCTACAACAACACAAGCATAATGCGTTGCACACGCATGCGCATCATAAGAACGCGCTTAAGTCAAGGACTACGTCAACGGCGTCAACTACAATAGCGACGGATAATGACACCGAAGCCGTTGTGGATACCAGCGAAGAACTGGTTAAGCCGACTTGGCCGCCTACGAAATACAACGAACACACAATTACCGCTGATGAGGCCAACAAAGGCACGCAAAATTATTATCATCAGCCGATAATACGCCAACAACAACAACAGCAACAACATCATAAACACCATAAACTACAGCCAGCAGCCGATTTGCGTCGTACAAAAGCGACTCCGATGACATCTGTAGCTCATATAATACACGCAGCAGCAACAGCAGCAGTGGACTTGCCTATGAAAATGCACAATAATAAACTCATGCACGCAAGCAGTCAAATTAACGTAGACACTGATAGCAACACTACGAACGCAACGATGCTGCATGCGCATTCAACAGTAGGCGGTATTAAGGAGCGCATAGCGGCTGCGCATGCTGAAACGAATGGTGCTGGGCTAACGACCGAAAACACCGGCAATGACAAAGCAACCGATTATGAGGATGATGATGTGGAGTATTATGATTACAACGCCGATGATGAGCCGAATGCGGAGCAACAGCCACTTGCTGTGCCCGATATCGGTGGCTACGGTTATGACAGTGGCATTGATGGCATTGAAGATGTCGAGTGGCGGCCCGCGCATGTCGCTAGCAATTTGAGAACGACACATCATCAACAATTGCGGCATAATCAAGAGCAATGGCAAGCGCAAATGCAATTGCAAAGGCGTCAGCATTGGTATCGGCAAGAGCAACAGCAGCAGCAGCAACAACAATATGAAAGCGAACACTCGCGGGTGGCACGCGATCATCATCGCGTACAATCGGAGGAGTTGCACAATAATCATTTGGCATATGACACGAGCTCGGATGATGTAAGTCTCGAAGTTAAGTTTAAGCAATGTAATAAAATTGTGTTTTTTATTGGAATGCCGTCACGAAATTCACTTTAAGCCTACTTAGTTCCATTGAAGCGATTCAAAGCAAATCGTTGCGCATACTTTGTGCCCACACGAAGTACTAAAATGTTATTACCATTGACTTATGAATAAAAGTTAGAAGAGCACATACATAAGTAGCTATTTTTAAATCGCCTTAGTGGTATTCCTTGCAGTTAAATAAATTTGATGTAAAGTACCACAGCTTACAACTTATTGGAAATGTAAGCTCATCGGTCCAGTCGCCTAACCTTTATTTTTAAAAGTAGTTGCTACTTTTGCGAGGCAAGGTACCATGAACTGTCAATTGTCAGGGTTGCGTCTGAAGTATGATAGTCTATTACTGGTTTTAAATAAGCTAAATATTTTGTTCAACTACGGATGCACAACACTAATTTAGATTGAAAAAATTCAAAGCAAACTAATCATAAGTACCGAGAAACCGATATTTTTCCTAACTTGAAAAGCATATTTAAAATTGATGAATATAAATATATATATGTTTATGTTTTTAAATGGTATCAGTGAAATAAAAATTTATATTATTGAATATTTATGCCTCTGGCTATTTGTAGGTCTCGGAAGTTGAACATAAGTATAAAACGAGAATAGAGAATGACTCATAGGACATAATAGAGTCAGTGATTTTAGTCCCGGTGGTTTCACAATGAGCCTCCAAAGTGCAGCGTCACACAATCACCTTACCTACCTACCTACCTAAGAAGACTGTAACTCAGAAACTATTTGAGATATTGATTTATTTTTGTATGTTATTTTTAAAGGTATAACTTATCTAAATATGAAAACAAATATATATATATATATATATTTTAAATTTCGGACCAGGTGTGCCCCCTAATACGAAATTTCATATCGATACTTTACGGTTATATTAAGTTATAGAAACGTTTTACCTTCAATTTCTTCAAATTTCTAATGTAACTGAGCCAACTAGGTTTATGCGTTTCATTAATCTAGCATAATCTTTTATGAACCACAAAACTAGTAATAAAATCAAATTTTAAATAAGTTTCATGATATCTGTTTAGAATTTACGAGACATATTTGCGTATTTTCTATGTTAATGAATTTGAAAAAATTAATATTCATGTTAAATAAAATTGTCATTAACATCTCTGCTAGTTGATTGGTTTCTCGTCTGTGTGTCTAAATGCTTTCTGCCACATAGTTCCCCCTATTTGTCGAGTACGAGGGCTATTAGATTTGCGTATATACATACATATATACGAGCGCTTTTCTATTTTATGCGAAATTTTAATAGTTCGTTTATTTGCTTCCTTTACTGCCCTTTTATAAATATTTTATGGTTCCAGAAATGATATAGTCTACGACTATATATTGTATATTTACGCTGCTGGTTTCGTCATGAAGTTGGTACCTCTTCAACGCCTCGATATTCATATGTATGTATGTAATGCATTCGTGCGATATCTTTTGAACATAAGCAATATAAATGTCTGTAAGTATGCACATTTAGATACGAATGCCTTTGAATGACTAGGCTATTCTATTTTATTTCAAATACTTAAATGCTTCCCACGCTAGTTTCTGCACATGCTTTCGCATATATTTTCGCATTATCACTGTTATTATCAGTATTTTTAATTTTCATAAGTGCCATGGTTGGCCCAAACAAAAGTCTTGTTTATGCCACGCCAGAGCATTGTTGGAATGCATAAAGAACGGCGAACGACAAACGCGTAGGTGTTGCGAGCTAGTGGGCTGTGACAGGCGGTGTGAAAAGACAGATACTGTGGCTTTTAGCAAAATTGCACGAATGCGGCCATTTCTACTCAAGCGCAGAGGTGTCTAATAAGTGTGTTTGTAAACATTAGGTTCTGGCTTTTTCTGTGAAAAAAATAATACTATTTGGCTGACATCTTCCTAGCGTTCAACTTAAATCAACTTATAGAGAACTCAGCTGAACTCAAATAAGTTGGTTTATCAAAACGTCACAGCTGTGATCCCCTTATACTTAAATATTCGGACGATATCGTGTCCTAGTGTTCCCCACTTTCCGCTTTTAATTTTCAAGCCTCTATTATTATCCCTAGATCACCTTAGTAATTGATACTTATATGTTATGTTAGTTGAACATGCTAAAGTATGAATTTGCATTTGTACCCCATGTTAAGCCTAAACTTACCATAAACTAAAACAAACAAATTGGCATAGAAGTGGAAATAATGACAGTGTAACACTATCCATACAGATCTCTACGTCTTAGTGCAATTAAAACACTCTGCTTAACTGGCGGTACTGTTAATCAGGGTTATCAGATCTATCTCAGTATTATCTATTGCCTCAAAATGGCCAATTAGTTTTTGCCATAATTTTGTACTCAAGAGGTCAAATCACGATTCAGTAGGGAATTGTTGGACACGCTGAATCGGCTAATAAGTTAGCTACCGAAATTCTCGTATAATAGATTGGTTGTTGACCTTTTGAAACGAAATATGCTCCAGGCCCTTGTCTTGAATTTCTGCGAAAAAAGTCTCTTTATCGGGAATTACTGACCATTAAAAACCCTAGGGTACTCTCACTTTCTGAGAAGTCAATGGGATTACTAATATTTCTGTTCGATTACAGAAAAGCCGAGAGTTCAGAAAAAGGTAATAAAAGTTAAAAATTTTCATAAAAGGGGTCATCTAATATATGCAGGTGTATGGTCGCAGAGAAATATCATTTATATTCACACTTTTATGAAACATAATTGTTTTTGATTCGATAAGGCTTGGAAAGTTGCGAAAAACAACTGGTATAAGTCTGATATACTGTCATAATGGAATAGAGCTAGATAGTAAGGCCGCTATTGTACTCATTTCAACTGGATTACTTTGTGATTACTTTTATATGTAAATTTTTGGACAAAAGATTAGATTTAAATAAAGATAGAAGAGCTGTGGAGGATTGAAGACGACTTTTATTATATCTGTTTTCAGATTAATGAACCTAATATAACCTTACCGTATAACGATTTTATACTAAGACAATGCCGAAAATTACTATACTTCAACATTAATGTTAGAATAATTACAAATATTATATATAAAAGGGTTTCAATAAGAACAGTGCATATAAAAATTGTGACTTTAAGCAGCTTTGCCGGAACCACTATATAATATAGCTGCCATGCTTATGTGGAACACTTTTTCACTTGAAATGTACCAAAGATTAGTACAAGCTTCGAACAAATTTTTCAGACCGGATCGCCATAGCATATAATAGCTAATATACAAACTAGCCGCTTAAAATCAAGTTCTTGTATGGAGACTTTTTTATTTGTGACCAAAGTTGGCGATTTTCTTGTTTTTTCTTTATTTTGGCAACAGTAAAAGTCTGTGTCTTCTTTTCGTACATACCACCAAATATCAACTAATCAGAACAGATTTTTTTTATATGTAAGGTGTTGGTTGGACTCGCCTCACTCACAACAAAAGCTCATATTTCATTAAAAAATCGCATAACAGTACCAATAAAAATAAATGCTTTAAAGATGTCAAGTGTTTATATATACGTTGTATATATATACAAATATATATACGTGTACATGCTACAGTTACAGTTATGCACCTATAAGGAAATACCCTTATAAGAAATCACAAGTTGGTTGTGCAATTTTCTGTTTGAAGATGCAGGCTTCACTTGCATTTAAGTACATACATACATACTTACACACTAACAGATTCATTACGTATTTATGTACCATATACATAACTATCCTATGTAATACATGCATGTGTGCTACCTTTCTCCGACGCTTGGAATTTCGGAATTACCGACCTAGAATCTCAATAAGTCCTAAAATTGCCCTATTGTGTTTCATCATCATTGCTGCAACAACAAAACCGACAACAGCAGCTACAGCTACAACAACTACAACAATACCAAAAGCCATAGCCTATTGCAGCTACGGATTCGCACGCATACAAGTATGTATGTATGCATGTGTATAAAAAGAATTGCAGCCAAAGAATGCCGTCGATTTTTGCTCATTGCTGTGGCAAATCAGCTTGTTGCAATCTTCGCAATCTTCGCAATTTACAATGTTAATTGCTGTCGCGCACTTTGCTGCACTTTCCAACTACGCTGCACTACTCGGGCGGGCGTCCATCAGCTACGTCGCCTCGTCCTCGTCATGCAGCGCCGCCAACCGGAATTTTGTGCCGTTGACGTTCGCCTGAGTGTCTACAGCAATTACGGCGGTGCGTTGTGGCCCCGTTTCGGTGGCCGTATGGTAAAAGCATTAAGCGCTGCAGCAAAAGTGAAACCAAGCAAAATGTCCAGTCGGCAAGTTGTTTCACTACACATACATACACCTATACTATACATATAAATATACAAGTATGTATGCATTTATGTGTATGTGTGTGCTTATATCAAATTGCTGCTGTGGTCCATGTTTAACACAGCTGATTGCATCCTATTATGAGTTACATCAGCCTGCAACATAGAATTTACTTGATTCTAGGTGATATTTAAGGACTTGCTACTGATTATTATCAAACTTGTTTTGCCTAGCAGTCAGCAAATTTGCTGGAAAAGGCGGCGCCAAAATGATTGAGCAAGACTAAGGTGCTACAATTAACTACTTGGACTAATGACTTGCATGAATATCTATGATGTTGGTGGGTCTACATTCATGTATATATATGTACCATATGAATAGAGGTATATTTATAATATGCGTTACATTTACAGGGTGACCCAACATTTGCTGAAAAGATTTGCTACGCTGTCGAGTGAAATTTAAACAGTAAGCAATATATTGCTGTTTCTATGTCATTCGTGTAAGGCTTGTATCCAGTAAGCTAGCGACTAAAATACACTCGCTAAAACAAAAAAAATTTAGGTGAAACGAAAACCAAAATTTGACTATTTTTTGAATTCAGTGAAATTAGCGACTTCAAATTTACCGTTGCAATATTAAATATATAAATACTGAGATATTTTCTCACAATTATAGCTACTTAGTTCTGCCAAAAGTTCTGTTACAAGTGTAGATCGTTATAAAAATGAAACTATAATGAATTTTTAGTACAAACACAAACTGTCGTCCTATTGATTCAAATCTGGACTTCCAGGCGGAGAATTATCTGCAGCTATGAAACCAAGAATATTTGTTTTTAACCCAATGCTAGATGGATTTTGCTTAGTGTGCTGGAGCAGAATCTTACTGGAATATCCAATGCTCTCCATCGAAGGGAGTATTGCTTAAATGCTTCACCACGCCTTCCAAAATATCCTGCTGGTACCCTTTTATCCCAGTTTTAACCCCATTTTTACAGAAGAGAAGAAATGTAAAACCTTTATAGAAGACTACCCGCCAAAAACCAATACAGCAGCTGAATGATGACCACGTTGATCCCTTGGAAAAATTCTTCAACAGTGAAATTTTTAACATCTGTAAAAATGACACTTTCATAAGCGTTAACCGCGTGCCACTGAAGAAGCCGCTTGCATCTATTGACCAGTCAGAGAATGACCACTTGAGCACATGACATCACGAATAAGTCTGTATAACTGATCTGGTCGATAAATCTATTTCCCTTCACATAATTTTCTGTTTTTAAGGGGATTTTTGAGAAGCTCATAAACACTTATGTAAAGCAATCACCGCAATACGATTTTCTTTAGCTCTCCACTCCATTGTTAATTAGCGAAAGCAAACATTAAACTGAATATCACACTGCATACAAAGTATAATAAAAAATGTGCGATTTTTTCTATGAATTTGTTCTCACTATATGCATTGTAAACTTTGTAACAGTATTTATGGCAAGACTAAGTAGACTAGCAAAAGAAAATTTCGAGGATTGGCCCGCTAGCCATCATTTTGTTTCAGAATATCAATATACAGTTTTTTCATACGTCCAGAAGAAATCATCCAAGTTGGGCATTTTTTTAGGGCTCTAAACTGGCCTAAATCTTTAATAGTAATAAAATATTAGACACTGTGTTGTAAGGAATTTACCAAAGCTACTGAGTATAAAAACAAGAATACGGATTGATAGCTGCCTTCAATTTGTCAAGCTTTACAGAGTAGCAAAACGAAGAAACAACTGGTATAAATGTTAATACACAATAGATAAAAAGCAAGCCTGTTTAATGTTGCAGTTGAATACTCTGTTGTCATGAATTCCACTGTATAAACTCGTTGCAATCGGACAAGAGACCAGAGCGCCAAAATAGTGGACAGAGAAGTGGCGAATCGAAGGGGCTACATAACCTGATTTCTACTTGTAAGCCAAAAATTCAGCTGCCAAATTTTATTACTTTACTGACCTTACAAGTATGTAATTATACAATTATACAGCGGATATTTTCATACAAATATATATTATATATGCATGTAACATGAATCCTCCAAAATATAGTATACATGTTTATGCATAATTTTATGAACGTATCAATATAAAAGACTTAATAAAAGTTCATTAAATCAATGAAAGGCCTAATTAAGAGATTTATGGAAAACCATACATTATACGTTATACCATGTGCCATAGTCGTATGAAAGCATATTGTTGAAATTTAACGCGGTGAAGACAAACAATATTATAATCAATTTAAGAAGGAAATGATTACGATTTTTTATCGATTTTGAATTGGTTATTTATTGGGTATTGGCTGCGCTGCAATGAAGAGCCAATGCGCACTTTATGACTTTCATTTCAGGCCTTATTCATGGCTTGTAGTATGCAAGAAAGTCGAGTAGCGGATTTTTTATAACACATAGCAATTTTGAAAGCGTATACTTGTTTATATAAATGGAAAATTTTGTATTTTAATAATCGTAGTTATGGAGGTATACATACTTTTATACATATCTGAAACGCAGTGTGTAACATACTCACATAAGTGAGACCGTCCAGATAGAGGCTTATTTAAAAAAAAAATATATATATTATTAGTGATATAAAATAAATTTAATGTTTAAAAATAAATTCATAATTGAGTTTAATTCATACTAGATTTTTAATTTTCTCTAATATTGTAGTTTAAAAGATTTTACCATAAACCGATCACAAATACAAAGTTCGGTTTTTAAATTACAAACTTTTCTTTCGGCCTTGTTTTGCAGGAATACGCTGATGATGAACCTGACAGAAGCTCCAGAGAGCATGAAATAACAGAACAAAAACTTGCCTTGGGTACCCCGGAAGGGGTGAAAAAGGAGCACAATGCATATGTGCAAAGTCAAAGTGAGTAGAAAACTTTAAGAAAAAAGTATTTAATTCTTATATTGGTTAACTTATCTCAAATAGAATTTTAATTGATAGAATTTTGCGGTCAATAAATAAAATTTACAATAATTGGTGTAAATTGTGCCGTTATGAAATTTCTTAACCAAATAACTATCTACATGACATGTTGGAACATCACGACCGTTCAATTGCCTAGCTACACTTAATTCTCTTCAAACATGCTCATTTCCGGTGTGGTCGGCTCTAAAGTTCTGGTTGACCATTTTCACATTCACCGACGCTAACATTTCTGAAAAACTCTCATATCATTTAACCTATTTCTCTCCTCTGTGCATATCCAGCAGGAAAAGCGATACAAGTGTGATTTCTTCATTTGGTTATCTCCTAATCACTCGGCTCATGATAAGTAAATACTAATTTGTTGGTGCCGATAATAAATTATTGTAAATAAGGTTTTGCTATACCAACTATTAGAGCGAGAATTTTTACTTCAATAACACAGCAACTGTTTCGATATAACCCATATTTCAACCATATTAGATCACAAACTATGTGGCATTTATCACTTAAAAAGAATAAATGAAGATTTTCCACTATTGTTCCCAATTTCCAATCACTTTTTGAAGTGGTCCTTATTTTGCTGGTAACGCACCGAATGCTGAAATTATAGCCGCCCCTTTTTTTATAAGCATAGACGTGGCCACACTAAAAGCCACCGTCTTACAGAGTTAAATCTCATGACATAGGTGTCCTATTTTTTGGTAAGTTTCTGTCAACCAAAATAAAATGATGGTTTCCGACAGTATATGGCTTTTTTACGTGTCGTTTTGGAAACATTTAACAATTCATTTTGACTTAGAGAAAAATTAAGCTGTGTAAGTCACAGTAAGTTTTAATGGCGTTAAGGGAGTCTACAGCGTGTTTTCAGAATTGTTCTTAAGATACCCGTTTGGAATACTTCTGTCTCATTGCTGATGCGTGCAACGTGCCTTTTGAAATATTCCCTAAAATATTCTAAAGAAAAATGTCTAATGCTTGTACAGTAACCCCGCCATTCCATTAGAAACAAGGAAAATGATTCATATAATTTTGCGTTCAGAGCCAAATAAACCAAAAATTATTACGATATGTGAATGCAAGTTTTCGTAGAATATTTATTTGAAATATTCTATTTTCATAAAATTGATAAAAACTTAATTTTTTTTAGTATTTGGTTGACAAACCTTTTTTTTTAAAAATTGCCTTCACCCTTTGAGGCGTACTATTTAAACAATACTTTATCATTATATTTAAATCCGGGTCATTTAGCCACACACCCTTTATGTTATCTTTGACTGCGGCTACTGTGGGATTTCTTCGTGAATACACCTTGAATTGTGAATTGAATATCTTCTGTTACTGTTTCTAGCCGGCACTCGTCGATAAAGATAATTTGTTAAGAAGAAAATCATGTTAAATAACAGGGTAACTTTGAATGGGGGACTTTCTGGGGTTGTTCATAACTTTTTATGTTTACCTTGTTCCAATCTATCTGTGTGTAGTTCTGATGGAGCCTGGCCCATATTAACCGTTGATTTTTCATTCGATTGGTCAATTTTGATTTCTTGGCTGGACGGCGGCATTTAAGGTTATTTTCTGAAAAGATGCGTTCAACTGTTGCGATATTTTAACATGGGCATCATTTGACTCTTTTGTAATTTCTCTAGCTGGTTTGGTACGCATTTCTAGAGCAAGCCTCACTACTTTACGTCGAATGCGCGCAGAAATTTTCCTATCTTGGGCAGCCTTTTGCCGTTTACTTGTGCGAGCAACGGATCCATTTTTGAACGTAACAGTAACACTCACTGCAATTTATTTCCTACTTCTCTATAGGATGCACTTTTTTCTTTTAAAAGGGCATCTATAGTACTTCGGGCTTCGTTTGAAATATTCGATTTTTTGCCCATTTCTTAAAAAGCTTCAGAAATTTTCCAAAAAAAAAAAACTTACCTAACAAATAATACTCTGGAATCTACGAAATAATAATTAAACACTTATGAAAAAATTCGATTTCTTGCACTGCGCCACACAATTTATCTCTGATGAACCAGAAATCACAAATGCTAAACTCCAAGTGAAGTACTCATTTCAATGTGATTTCGAATTTAAGTCCCGCTAATTGCAACTATATATTTTTTTTATATTTGGCACGGAATAATATATAGTGCACAACCTACTTAATGTTTTAGCAGTGGAAAAAATTTAAATTATTCGCCTAGCAACCTTCCCCAGTACGTTATTCGTAAATTTTTATATATAATATATTATATTTACCATGTTTTTAATGGGTTGGCGGGGTACTGTATATACTCTGACACCTGGTTTGACAGCTATCCCTCTAGAAAATCTTACACCTTCGAATAGCCCTAAATAATTATTTGAATCTTAAATAAAAATACAATAAAGCCATTAAAATGATAAATCATACCAAATACCGCATTTTCAATAAAAAAATTCTATAAAATTTTTACACATCTTCCTTATATAAGCTTTCCTACAGGTTATCTATTGCAAAATTGGGAAAAAACCAACATTATTGCGGAAACATATCTCATTCTTTTAAGCTTATGAACATTTATCAGTTTTGCTTAAATCGTATGCACATAAGTACACAACACATACAAGCATTTAAACTTGTAAACTTCACCAAACAACTGGGTACACCAGAGACTCAGTAGCATAAGTGCATGGCAAATATTTGTAGAATTGCCGCTGCTACATGAAAATGGAATGTTATCAGTGTGGTCTTTTGCGAAATGTGTCATTGTGCCGGCAATGATTTACCGTTCACTGATAGTTGGCTGACGGTCGCAATGCAAAGGTTTTGAGAAATCGAAATAACAAAAAATCGGTTGATATATCTACATTAAATGTGGCACTTATCTACTTAAAACCACAAAGTTGAGTAAAGTCAAAGTTTGAGGAAAAGTTTATTGTGTCAATCATTAAATATTTGCAAAAACTGTGTTCACATATTCAATAATAATAATAATTGCCATATATTTTGCATAAAAAGGTATTTATAAAAAGTGCGTTGAGATTGAGAACACTAGAAGTTGAGTGACTTACAAGTAATACATTTTTAAAGAGTAATAGTTAGAGGTATGCACCCAGTATGTGTAAATATTTAGATACCACGTAGGCGAATCTGAGTTGGTTTTCAGTCTCCGACTAGCATCAAAGTATTTTTGTGCCATGAAAAATATTCTCAGAAAATCCTTTAGTACATCAACATTCGTTTGACTGCGGTTTAAAGGTCATATAATCCCTTTATAGTTTAACTACCTATACGAAAGCGATTTAACTGTAGACCATTGTTAATTCAGTATCTTTTTAGGAATTCAAGGCAGTATATGCGAGGGAGTTGAATACATTGTTATATATGGGATACTCAATATCGAATCGACTGGAATAAAGAAACAAAATAATTTCGCTGTATCTGCTTTTCTGTTCGTCCGACTGAGTAAGCGCTAACTTGCTGTAACTTGACTGCTAGTTATTAGCTAGGCTGTAATAAATGGGAGGATCGGAGCTTGGTACAGGAAGACAGGCGTAAAATGTGAGCGTAACTTTCTAAAAGGTCTATCTTAGATATATCTTAAATTAGAAATCGGCATCTTAAGTTTTGGAGTAAAAGTTCTAAAACTCAAGCACATTTCTTATCGAACAGTATTATTTAAAACATTTACAGATACATTAGCTTTCGACTAACTATGTCTGAAATAAAGGGTGTCCCAAAATTAACGCAAGACTGGAATTAAATAGAAAGTTGTTGTGTTAATTGAATTTTGTAAGCATGGAGACACGGGTCTTTAGTGAGTATACGCTGTTCAGAGCTTCTTAAAATTTGCAAATTCTTGTCCGTGATGCCGAATTGAGATTCCCGGATTGTGACCGACACTCTCACGTACTGGTTCGATATTGTCTTTTGGTCGACCATGTTTGGCGTCTGCAACGGATCCCGTCGCCCGGCATTTTTCAATTTATCTCTTCACAGTTGACGAAGTTAAAACATTCTCACTTTCGACCAAATTTTGTATGAAATGTTCGAACTGTGGCCGCCAAGCTTTTATTATTTTCATCTGGCACCGTTAGTTTTAGCCCAAAATTTATATTTCACGAACAACTCGGCCAATTTTAATTACATTTAAGGCAGAGTATTTCTATCGTAAATTGAAATAGCACAGTTCGACAACCTTGGATGCCCCGACCAAGCCCTTGCCGCATAGACCTCCGTTTGAAATTCCATTAGTTTCTTTTATTCTACAATAGAAAACTTAAGCACAGTGAAGATATCGAAACAAAACAGGCAAAGCAATTAAAGATTGTGTGTGACAACTCTTAATTAAAAATGTTTGAAATCCGTATATACTTTCGTGGCTTAGTATACCAATTGTAAGGATCCACGCAAAAAGTTTTACCAAATATATCGATCAACTGGTAAGATAACTTTGAAAAATGGTTTACATGTAAATAAAGTAACATAGAGGTTTATAGTAAAAATCGATCCAATCGGTCCAAATCAAGAACGAATTATGTATGTCTGTCCATAGAAATATATTTTTTCTTACATAGCGACTAGAGGCAATAATAAGCTAATGGACGGTCCTCTCAATGAGGCTATCTGCCCATATCCTGCATTAATTAGTATACTTGGTCAAATTTCTGCTAAGGAAAGACTTATATCTGTTTTAAGAAGTATTTCGGAAAATTTCGAATATTTAGCAAGGTTTCCTTACGCCAAAACTCGATCGCCTGTATTTTTAAAATTTTCGAAAGTTTCTATTGTTGGGCTGCACCCGAACTCAGCACTTGCTTACATGTTTACCTTGTTTTCATAAACATAAATGTTACATAAACCCATAAACTGCTTGTTTCCCACAATTACATAAATAAATTTAAAACTCTATATGTGTCCGATGGTCAACGTGACCACCAACAATTTCACGCCACTAACC